GGTGTGAAGGGGACAGCGGGGTGGGCAGGGGGATGGCAGGGTGCCAGGTTTTCCCCCACTCATGACCCCCTGGCTCACCACCACCATGGGCTGCCCTGCTCTCTCCTGCCAGGCTTCCCAAGGGACAAGCCCAAGCTGTCCCCAAGGCAGTGGGATGCCCGGGACCAAGGCCGCCTGCTCTTGCGGCCCCAGAGCGCCGGGTCCTCGCTCAGCCAGCCCGGTAAGCACCCAACCAGGGCACCAGCAGGGAGAGGGCACCCTGCTGCCTCCTGGAGGGTGGGGGTGAGCAGGGGTCTGCACCTGCAGCCGGGCAGGGTGGGATGGGGGTCTGGGGTCTGGGTGGGATTGGGAGGGGCAGAAGCAGGATGGAGGGTGGGGACTGGCAGATGGGGCAACCGGTCTCCATGTTGGAGCCGGAGTGAGGTGGGGGGGAGCGGTCCTGGCCAGTGTGTGAAGCCCGTCTGCTTCAGGGGGGGGACAGGACCCCGTTTCTGGGTGTCTCTGGCTGGGCAGGGGCCCCTGCTGCCTGCCCCATCCTGTAACCCCTGCCCCTCACCCCCAGGCACCGCCGCCTCGATGGAGCACAGGCCAGCCTCGTCCCATGGCCACCTCTCCCAGGCACCAGGACTCCTCCCACCCCTCCAGCCCCCACAGGATGGATCCAGCACCCCAGCACCCGGGCAGGGCTGGGGGTCCCCAGCCGAACCCCCACAGCCCCAGCTGCCAAGCAGGCGAGCAAGCAGCTCGGGCCAGCAGCAATAAAGGGCGATGGGCATCCGAGTGCCTGTGTGGCCTGAGTGGGGCAGCCCTCGATTGGGATTTTCCCATCATGCACAAGGACAGGTCGGCAGCATTCCTCATCCTGCAGCCAGGCATCTCCAGAGGAGCTGAAAACAGCCCCGGTCCAATGCCCTCCCAGGGTCTGTGCTGGCCCCGTGCTGTCACCGCTCCCCCTGACACCCCCCGGCCTCCACAAGCCCAGTTTGGCCCCAGTGGCCCCTGCCAGGGGAACTTGTGGCCCCAAAAGGGCTCTGGGAGAGCCAGGCAGTGAACCAGGAGGATGATGATGCTCAGTTGCTGCTGAAGGTGGTGGGAAATGGAGATCCCAGCAGGAAGGGCAGCAGCAGGACACAGCTTTAATGCCAAAAGCGAATCCCACCCCAAGCCCACTGGTTTGCAACTGCTTATTCTGAGGAATGAGCATCACCGAGCTGGTTTCCTCATGGAGTACCCCCCACACACACTTTGTCACCCCCTTGTCCCCCTTCCAACACTGCCATCGCTGGAAAGAGGAAGGCACCGACCCCACTGCTGCCCGGCTTGGGGCAGCTGATGCTTCCCACCTCCAGAGCAAAGCACTATAACCCCTTCTCTGACCCCAAACTTGGGGGGACACATCCCTCCCCTGTTATGCCACCTTCGTGGCTTGGCTCTGCTTTTCCCCAGCCCCCTCCCCTCTGCCCCGCCTTCTGCCACCCATCCCCTTGGTGTCAGATGGGAGGAAGCCCCACTGAGCACTGAGACCTAGCACAAGTTGTGTCATGAGTGGTAAGGGGGTGTCACAGCTGGGGACAGACAGCTGTGTGTGTCACACACACATGATGCAATGACACATTGTGGGGGGAACACGAAGGTTCTTGGGTGAGAAACCCCAAGGGGAACCCCAGAAACAGCCAGGAGGGACCCAGGCATCTGGGGAAGCATCCCCTCACCCCCCCGGGGATGTTTTCCCTGCCAAATTCAGGTTTCCAAGGGAAAAAACATGCGCTAAAAACCCACTTTGGGGGTGCCCAGGTGGATCCAGCAGGATCTGGGGTCCCCCCAGTGCCATCTCCAATGGCATAACTGGGAGCACTCAAGAGCAAACCAGTGGGCAGCAGGGTAAAGCCATCCTGCACCCCACGGGTGAGGTAAGGTGTTGATGGGCTAAAACCCACCTGCCCTGGGACTAATTGTGTTTGCAGGATAGGGCCCAGCTGGGGCTGAGCTCTCTGGTGCTCATCTTC